CCTCCCGTCTCTGAGCGTTTCCCGCCGCGCTGCAGAAACGCCGGGAGCGGGAGATGCAGCAGGAGATGCTGCTGCGGGACGAGGAGACCATGGAGCTACGGGAGACTTACACCTCCCTGCAGCAGGAGGTGGAGATCAAAACCAAGAAGCTGAAGAAGGTGAGAGCCTGGCAGGTGGGGACCACCGTCCCCCCGGCCACCGGAGCCGTGGGGCTCGCCCGGGGGCTGAGGGTGCTCCTCTCCCCCAGCTGTACGCCAAGCTGCAGGCCGTGAAGGCGGAGATCCAGGACCAGCACGACGAGTACATCCGCGTGCGCCAGGACCTGGAGGAGGCGCAGAACGAGCAGACGCGGGAGCTGAAGCTCAAGTAGGTGGTCGTGCGTTTCCCCCCGCGCCCGGGCGCAGCCGTGTGGGGTGCGCAGAGCAGATTTGGGGTGCTCAGGGCAGAGCGGGGTGCGCAGAGCAGATTTGGGGTCCTCACAGCACAGCTGGGGTGCTCAGAGCACAGCTGGGATGCACAGAGCAGATTTGGGGTGCAAAGAGCAGATTTGGGGTCCTCACAGCAGACCTGGGTGTGCAGAGCTGATTTGGGGTGCACAGAGTAGATTTGGGGTGTACAGAGCAGATTTGGGATGCTTAGAGCAGATCTGGGTGCACAGAGCAGAGCAGGGTGCTCAGAGCAGAGCAGATCTGGGGTGCACAGAGCAGATTTAAGGTGCACAGAGCAGATTTGGGGCGCACAGAGCAGAGCAGGGTGCTCAGAGCAGATTTGGGGTGTACAGAGCAGATTTGGGGTGCTTAGAGCAGATCTGGGTGCACAGAACAGAGCGGAATACTCAGAGCAGAGCAGATCTGGGGTGCACAGAGCAGATTTGGGGTGCTCAGAGCAGATCTGGGGTTCTCACAGCAGACCTGGGTGTGCAGAGCAGATATGGGGTGCACAGAGCAGATTTGGGGCGCTCAGAGCAGAGCACAGCTGGGGTGCGCAGAGCAGATTTGGGGTGCACAGAGCAGAGCTGAGGTGTGCAGCTGGAAGGGTCGATACACCCACTGATGGGGAAAACCGAGAGCCTCCTGCCCCATCGGCGGTGGCAGAAGGTGTAAAACACGGTTGAAGCCCTTGAGCTGGGTGAGCTGCACGGGAGAGGATTAAAAAGTTGCCGAGAAAGGTGAAACCCCAGAAAATACACCAGCAGGTCCGGGACGTGGCGGGGGGCGGCTGGAGGTAAGTGTCCCCCAAGGGCCCCTGGAGACCTGCTCCGGGTAAGTGTCCCCCAAGGGCCCCTGGAGACCTGCTCCGGCCCCAGCGCCGTCGGAGCGGGGAGAGCAGCGTCGGGGCACTCGGGGTGAGCCCCGGCCCCACGGGAGCTCCCGGCACAACAGCGGCACCCGGCAAAGCCGAGCAGCCTTTTCCCTCCGGGACCTGCCAGCAGGAGACGCAGCTGATGTTCCACCACCCTTAGTGGGC